AATAGAGCATTTCATCCCAAAGGATTCTAACCACTTTACAAACTCTGGACCAAGTTCTATCCACTGCTACAACCCTGTAACCTCTGACTGATTTGTATGGGTGCAGAGAAATATAGAAATTAGAGATTGCATCAGATGTGTGAATTACTTTGCTGCAGCTGATGTTCCTCCCACTTCAGGGGTAGATCCAATGATAGCATTGCCAGTGCTTTAAAAAGGAGTTCTCACAAACATATTCTGGACTGCAGGCCTGTTCTGCATGCCTGTGTGATGCCAGTGCTTCCTGGGAAGGGGTGGGACAGTAAGGATCTGAGCAGTACTGTTTATGTTCCTCTCTAAATACAGATGCTCCCTCATGACCACAATCAAGTATAGAAGCAGCACCGGTCAGCAAATAAATTTAAGTGCTCCTTAAGAGGAAGAACTTCCAGAGGGCCGGGGAAGTCATACTCTGTGTAGTCCCCAGGCAGAAGGGACTCCTGCCACGAGCTACTACAATATAAACATTTAAAGAAGTAATACTAGGTAGACATGGCTGCGAACATGTGCAGTGAATATTCAGCACACAACTCAGCATTCCTGTCCTTAACCTAAAACGACAGAATAAGCAAAACCAATGTAAATAGAATTAAGGGTAACATCTCCAGAGATATGCTTTAAAAACATTTGGTGTTTGATTCTTCCCAAAAGCAAAACATTTGCTCCCCTGAAACACGTGAACCTCAGGAATAAGTTCTCTTTAGCCAAGTTGACTTGACTCAAGCACCAAGAGGACCAGGCACATAGTGCCTTCCTGTGCCTTCCTCCTCAACTTTGAGGGGAAGTGTCATCAAGGACTTCTTGGCACTACATGCAATAAATCACTTCACCTGATGTGGCAGCTGTTTAGTCACACAGCCCAACCATTTCAGTCAGGACCTGAAGGATGTCATATTTAATTGAACATGGGGGAGGGAATTACACTGTCATGTGTTTGCTGAAAGTCACTGCTTTTAGGTCAAATTTAAACTCAGTATTGCAGGACAAATATTACATTGCTATTAATAATAAATAATCATGATAATGTTTTCCCTTAACAGAGCATCTCATCCCAAAGGATCCTAACCACTTTACAAACTCTGGACCAAGAACAAAGTCATGTGTTGACAGTTTTGAACTAGGTGGAGGGTCACATTGTATTGTCTGTGCTAGTACCTCTTCTGACGCTGAGCACAAATAGACACTCTGGGGACATATTTTGTCCCTGCATGCAAACACATCTTCCGTGCCTGATCAGGCTTGGGACACAACTCTATTGCTGATGCATGCAGACAGGGGAAAAGCAGACCACTTCTAGCAAGCACGCCAAACTTTTCAGCTCAGTAAAAAGGGAGAACATCCTTATTCAACACTAGGACTGTTTTCTATGCTTACCTAAACATTCAGCCATTGATCTTTCTTGACCACCAAGCAGTCAGTGAGTTGGGACACGAGTTTTGCCTTATGCTACAGGGAACGAGTACAAACAGCAATAAACAAAAAAGCTCTTAAGCAAGCAGGATAGACTAGAGGCAGGAAAGAGAAAGGGTTGATCAGCCCCATTTTGTAGAAGCAAATGAGGAATTTGATTCCTTTCACACAGAAGTGACAGAGGCCATCAGCGTATTTCACATAAAATGCCACAGGTTTTATTCATACTTTCAGTCATCATCCAAACCAGCCTGGTATCCAGCCCTCTCTTAAACTTGGTCTGTTCCAGAGACTTGCCCAACACTGGTCTAGCTCTTCAGAAAACTGCTATACAGAGTCAGACCCAGCTCAGGATCCTGTTTCTAACAGAGATGAGCAGCAGGGGCTTAAAGAAAAAGTTAACAGGGCAAGTTTAAAGCTGTGTTTTTCCATTTTTCTCCCCACAACAGCTTCCAGGAAGCCACAGTTTGGGGACTTCCTCAGCTGGGGCGTGTATTCACACATTTGTGTTTAAATAGCAGTTGACGGGCCGCCGTGCCAAAAACATGTTTCGAGCAGCAATACCTCTACATGTCAGACACATTGGTGAAAACCAAGCAAGTGAATTTTTTCCATTGCATGGCCAGAGTTAAACACGACTGCAGGGGCACCTGTTTCACCCCACCTTCACCTCCAGAGCACGCATCAGAAATAGGCCAGAATAGATTTGAACACACTGCAAATTCAGAGTGTAACCACAGCTCTAGACGGGCGACAGAAACCCCGCCAACTGTTTCCCCGGGCTTCAACTTTTTAATAATGAAACCTCCCCAAATGAAAACACAGCTTCGGGCCTCAAGCCAACTGAAAGCAAAATACAGGTACAAAAGTAAAGTTGGTTCCTGTCTCTTCCCAGGCCCGATATGCCACCTCTCATATGGAAGCCAGACCTGGGTATATTAATGAACAACTTGTGTCTTTCTCAACCTTTTCTGCTGCAATGCAGGGCATCATGTTTAGACCTCCTGAAGACTTCATCTATGAGTAAAACCTCTGGTATCCCTGTCTATGTCCTATCATCAGCTGCTGCATAATATTTGTGTGAAATCTCAAGAGAAAAAAAGAAATCAAGTTGAAAACAAGAAAAAATATGAGACCCACATCCTTTCCTTACCACAGTAAGGAATATTTTTCCAGCTTCTGCTTTCCTCAATCTATATACTATCACCCCTGCTTACCAGAGGTTTCTGAAACCCCCACTTGATGACTGTAGTTGTGCTCCTCCCCTCAAAACAGAAAACTGAGTAATTAAAGCAAAATAATCACTTCAGGGCACGGCAGTTCCCAAGCCATGAAGCACAAGCAGGACCAGGAGGAGCAGCTGCCCCCAGGGAGGTATTCCTCTCAGCAGTTGGGGAACTGCTGCACTAGCCCCCTGTTTGCACCTGCATGAACATGCAAGAACCTTCATTGTTATAGATCCAATGACTGAATTAATAAATAAAAAGTAAAAATTTAACTCTGAAATAAACGAGGGAATGTTTATTTATAGTCCAAGATACATTTCTGTAAATAATAACTCTTTAAGTAACTCACTAAAAAAAATTATCACGTTTCATGTCATCACCTTGTAACATGTTTAATGCCTATTTAATGACCATTCCATGCATTTTCACACACATTTTACTACCCCTGCAACATACAAATAAATATACAAGAAGAAAACAAATTAGCTAGAGGTGAAAGGGAACTGAGAATAGTACAGTACTAATGAATAGGGAGAAAACACCTTTTTTTTTTCTCCAGTCTGTTGCTAGCAGATTGCATCAGCAAGTTATCAGTAACATCTCAGCTACATCAATTGTCAGCATCATTCATAAATTCAGCACGTTTGGGAACAGATTTTTTTTTTTCTTTAGCTGCAAATATTCAGAGAGGGACAAAACATAATATTACTTTAAGCCCTCGAGGGGAAAAAAAAAAAAAAAAAAAAAAAAAAATCACACCAATTCTGTTTCTTTATTATTTCAGGAATTTTGTTCTTGTAGCAGATGCCTCATGTCTGCCCGAAACGTCATGGGACCCTACCTCTAAGATCACAGGCAAGCCAGAGCACTTCCATGAGCAACACCTGCAGGAAAGAGCGTCACAGGAAAACTGACACAATTGTTACCAAATTAATGGGTGTCAAACGTGAAACCTTGTTACCTTGATACTGTCTTTTATACACGTTTTGTGGAAATATGTATTTCTACATTAGAAATCCATTTGCGCATCATTCTGGCAAGCGAGCCAGGCTTCTGGTGCAAGTGTTGTGCATCTTGAGGGAAAAGTCAGAAGTATATTGTAAGAGACAAGCAAATGCTCTGACTCCAAGTACAGAAAGTAACACTAAGCAAGGCTTCCAGACAAATGTCCACACAGTACTTCAGGTCTTCTAGGTACTGCCCTAGTTCCCTTAATTGCTTTATTTAAAAGGTTGCAAACGCTAGCTGGCTGTGAGGGTAGCAGCGTTTGAACGGTAACTATTTCCAAGGGGTATGCCGATAGCAATGTAACACCAGGACATGCCACACACATTTATGAGGCTGGAAGCGATAGCAATCAGCCTACATAGCTGCAACCCCAGAGCCAAACCAGCCACCCTGACTTGTTAACCTCACCCCGCTCTGCAACCACCATGACTCACAGCAATTCCCCCCCCCCCGCCCCATTTGTAGGGACAAACGAAGACCTCCTTATTCCGGAGGTCCAGGAGAAAACAAGCGTTCAAGGACCAGAGATGGCGAAGCTGAAAGAGTAAAGCCCAGACTTAAGCTCACACAAGAGAAAGCGAGATGCGGCCCATTTTTGCACGCTTGAAACCAGAGAAGCTTACAACAGTGCACGCCGACTTTTTCGGTCCCTCCTTCCCTTTGTACATGATCTTAATGAAGCCGCGGGTGTAAAAACGTTTCCTCTGCTGTCATCGTTTCCTGCCTCCCTCTCTGGTTTGCAGCTGGGGACCCGGGGCTGGGGACAGAACCGGCACCCCCCAGCCCCCCCCCCCCCGCAGCGTGGGTGCCCCCCACGCGTGAGCGATGCTCAGCTCCCCGCTCCCCTGCCAGGCGCGGAGGGGAACAGCCGGCCAAACGCGGGCAGGATGGTTATTTCCTCCCCTTTCACCGTGACTTTTTTTTTTTTTTTCCCCGTGAGACGGGTGACACCCGCTCCTCGCTCCCTGCCTCCGTGGCGTGGGTTGGGTGTCAGGCCCGGGTTTGCCCGAGCACCCCGGAGGGATGGGTGCCCACTGCCAGGGACGGCGCCGGCGGGGACCGGGGATGCGGGATGTCACAGGGAGCTGCCGCAACGCGTCCCCCTCCCACCCACCCCCCCGCCAACAAACAGGGAAAGGGGGGAGAACCGAGGGGGGGGGGGGGGGGGGGGGGGGGGAAGCAAAGCAGAGGGAAGAACTCCGCGCTGAGGCGGGGTTTCGTTTCATTTCATTCAACCCGAGGCGAGCGCGAAGGCCGGGGGGGTGCGTGTGTGTGTGTGTCCCCACCACCGCTCCCTCCCGGTTCGCCCCCACTCACCCAGGGTCTTGACGGCGACCTGCCGGGTGAGCGGCGGCGGCAAGTTGACGCAGACCAAGTCGACGTCCTGGTGCAGCAGCACCTCGTCGATGCGGCTGGTGTAGAAGGGGACGCTCATCTCCTTGGCCAGCTCCTCCGCCTCCTCGGGCGTGCGGCCCCACAGCGCCTTCACGGCGAAGCCCTCCGCCTTCAGCAGCGGCACGATCACCCGCGCCGTCAGCCCGGTGCCGAACACCCCCACCCCGGGCAGCATGGCGGCGGCGGCGAGGGGCGAGGCGAGGCGAGGCGGCGAGGCGCTCCCTCCTTCCCTCAGCGCCGGTCGCGGCGGGGGGAGGCGGTCGCCGGGCGGGCGGGAGAACGAGGCAGCCCCCGCTGGCTGCTGCCGCCGCCGCCGCCGGGACCGGGACCAACCGCCCCCCGCCTCAGCAGCGCCGCGGCCGCCGGCTGCCCCGCCATGCCCGCACCATCACACACGCCTACCGCGGAAGGGCCGCCCTCCCTTAACGGGAGATAACCGCCCTTTCCCCCGGCGGAGCGCGGGGAAGGGGACTGGAGGGGGCGGCGGCGGAGCCTCACCGCCGCTCCTCTGCCATCTTCGCCGCGGGCGCCCGCCCGCCGCGGGGAGGGGCGTGGCCTCTCCCCTCACGACCGGCCACGCCCCCGCCTCACCATTGGCCGCCGCCCGCCCCGGGCCACGCCCACCCCTCCCGCGCGCCACGCCCAGCCCCCGGCGGCCGCTGGGAGCCGGTGGGCACCGCCCCGCGTACCCCGATTTGGGGTTTTTTTGGGGGGGGGGGTCCCCCTGCAGCCTTCACCCCATAAGTGCGGTCGGAGGGGCTGCCACGGGGGTTTCCCGGCTGCCTGGCCGGTCGGTTTCGCGGCAGCTCCCCCTGCGCCGCCGGGCACGGGAGACAGACACCCACCCCAACCCCCCCGTCCAGTTCCCCCACGCGGGAGGGTCGCTGCGGGGCCGCGGTGATGGGGCGTCGTGGGGGTGAGGCGTGGGAGAGCCGCAGCGGGGAACTGGGGTGAACTGGCGGTGTCCCTTGGTGGTTGGCCTTCCGCCCGCCTCTGGAGCCCAGTGACGGGTCTCCAGACCCGGGGTGTCCCGAAGGGCGAGGGGAGCTGCCCCGAGCCCCGACACCGGCCGTGCCCGGTGTGGGACACCAGCCCTCCCCCAGCCTGTGCCCGGATGCCCGGCCAAGGTCCCTCACCACCCACCCCACGCCGACCATTTGCTCCCCTGACCAGCACCACGGCTTTACTGGGATGTTGGGGGTCACGCTGGAAGGGCGGAACGGGGGAAATCCGGGACCGCAGGAGAGCAAACCCTCGAGCACCGCTGCAGTGCCCCGTGCCAGCTCCTGCTCAGCCCACTGTTGCCCCTGGCCGGGTGAATGATCCCCTCCTACCCCCCGGGATGCCCCCCTACCCACCGGTGGGCCCAGGGGCAGCCGTGGACCGTGCACGGCCCTTTCTCCTGGGGGTGACCCTCTGCCCCGAATCCGCACGCTGCCCTGAAAGCAGAGTCGCTCCAGTGAGTGCCACACAGGCACACCGGTGTCTATCTCACTCTTAAAAAAAAAAAAAAAAAATACTACAAAACTTCCTGCTTCCAATTAAAGGGTAAGAATAAAGATGTTGGTTTTCCACATATTGTCTTTTTTACCAGTTCCTAGGAGAAAGGAAGAGAAGTGTGAGGAAGGAAAAGGGGGAAGGAATGAGGGGAGAGGAAAGGGAAAAGGAAAGGGAGAGAAAAGACAAAAGAATTAGAAACCTTTCCTCTATTAGACCCCTGGAAACGTGCCAGGGACAATGTTGCAGACGTAATCTACCAGTGGTTCGAAAAATAGGGCTTGGAAGACAGCACTCCTTTCCCATGCTCTGTAAAGAGATGGCTGGTTTTGGTTTTTTTTTTTCCTCCACAGCCTCACAGCAAACACTATTACAAAAAGCACAGATGCCGAAAGGGTTGCCGCAAGTTAAACATGTTTTGCTTTCTGTGCACTGTTAGTGCTGAAGTGAAGGAGGTGGATATTCTTTGGCTTCTGACAATTGAAACACGATCCAGATCCATTTGTCAAATAATCACAGTGGTATTACCTTTCTTTAAAATACAAAGATTGCATTGGGGTTCTTCGTCAGCCATTCAAACCTGTTTATATGGGGTGTTCCCAGGATGAGCAGTTTGGGATATCTTTCTTGTCTTATTTGCTTGTCTGCACATAATAATAAACCCCGAGAAAGTAGCCAGGTTACAGCGAAAGGGTAAACGTGTGAACGTTGGAGAGAAATAGATGCTATGTGCCTATTTAGTCTTTATATAACTTTTATTATTTTAGTGGGCACAAGCCACTTTACAAAGATCTATGCAGGGTCATTGTTTTGAGAAATGTTCAGTAAGAAAATGGAAAATGGGAATTAAGGACTAGGGAATGACATTATTACACCTCCTTTGTTGCAGGGACTTTTGGGGGCATACTCGATACCATTTGTAGTGGAGTAGGGTGTGATTATTTCTCAACTAATTGTGTGAAATAGGGCCACCACGCTACGCTTGCCTGTCCCCATGAGCACCCAGAAGGACGGAGGGAAGCTGATGAAGGACAACCGGCCTTTCAGTGATGCAGACCACATCCTCACCATGACATAGGTGACCACAAACATGAGCAGAAGCAGAATCTTTGCTCAAATCCACATCACTAGCGCTGCCAGTTGCTTCTAACTTGAAGTACTATCAAATCTGGGCAAGATTCTTTGTGCAAAGCAAAAATGGTTAAGGCAGCAGCTAAGTGCCTCACTTTGAAGACGTGTCTAACCAGGACTGAGGTTTCCTGGACTGTGTGTGTTGAACTATGAAGACTCTGGTACTCTGTGTATTAGATCTTTCCACTTGTAGGCCTGACAGTCTTGTCAAGAGAGCTGGCGTTTTGTTCTTAAGGTTGCTAAAGCTTCCTTCAAGGAGGACACATATTTCTCTCACAGAGACAACATTTTTACTCTCTCTTGAGGACTTTCTTATCCTGAAATAAGTTATTAGCATAAAGTTTCACGTAGGAAAAAAAACAAAACAAAACAAAACAAACAACATAAAAGCCTCATACAGCCTTTTTGCCTTTCTAAATTCTGTAAATGAAAGAAACCAGCAGGAAACTAATAAAGGAATTGCAGTCACAATTCTGTTCCTTCTAAATATTTCAGTTGAGTTTTGCAGCTCCTGGTCACTGTACTGTACAATGTACATATAGCTACATTACCAACTTTATGTGAGAAATACCAACTTAATGGCTCTTCTACAGAATTCTGATACAGTTGTTTGCAGAGATTTTAAACTGTCTTCTCAGTTGTATTTCATATATAGTATGAAATTCTTTTTGTAGAACTATACTGGTTTCTTCTTAAATAAATGTTGAGATTACAAAAGTCAGAAATCCTTGATTTTTTTAACTTTTTATTTAATTATTTTAATTTAACTTTTATTTAGCTTTGTATTTAGTTTTTTTTATTATTGAAGTAGCTAGTAAGTTGAAAATGCTCGATATAAAAGGATATGTAAAAGGTATCAAAGAATCAATCGAGCATTTATGATGTGCAAATACGTGTTATCTGTTGGTGTAAGTAAAATGCAGAAAGTTGGTGGTGTTCCAGATACAGATAGCACTTAGCAGATCAAAGTCCTCAGTTTACTTTCCAAATGGGTGAAGGTATCTTCCCACGTATTGCAGAGGTTTCTATCTGGAGCCTGCTGAACTCAACAGAAGGATGAAGATCTGTCTGATAGAGTATCAGGATCCCACACCGTTTCTTTTTTACTTCTCTGTACTTACAAGAAAATCTGGTCTTTTTCAGACTTTTTTAACATTTATCCTGTCAGACTCCACAGCTGCATTTCTCAAACTGCTCATATATCAGTCTGAACAACAATAGAAAGAGCTGAATAATACATAGTTTCAGTGAAATCCTGAAATGGAGCTTACTGTCTCTCCAAATACTTCTCAAGCTCCAGGATTTTAAGATTAATTAGCTAATTTCCTTTTACATAAATCAGTGTCTTAAAACATGAAACAGCTGTGAATTTTCATTAACCATTTGTCTCCTTCTGGGGTATGAGGTTTGCGATCACCACTACTGGGCTTCTTCTATGGCTTTGAAGCTTGAAATGATTTGCATGGAAATAATAGTGCTTCGGAGATGAGAAAAAAGTGGTGATTCAGACCTGTCTGGTTCTCCCACTCAGCTGTACTGACTCATCCACAGCTTTAGTATGCAGCACGAGAAAGGATGCGTGAGCTGAGTTGCTCAAGTCCTTTTTTACATCTAATACCATACAATTGGCAGTTTCTCAGGCCAACAGGAATTTGTTCTTGCAAAGAGCCATACGCTTCATTTTAGTGTCCCTTTGAATGAATTTCCACTGAGACAACCCACAGAAGTTCTTGCTTTGGGATCTAAAGGCAGGAACTGCTTTAACACTTGTGGTATTAAATGGTCCAACATGCAACAGAGAGAACTAGAGAAGAGCAGACCACATGTGCTAGCAAAGGGTTCATAATACATTCATCCCTCCTTTGTTCCGGTCAGTGGGAATTGTGGACATGCCTGGAGTCTTTGAGCCTGTTCAGTTCAATTTTCAGAGTTTATTCCTTCCCAGTTTCCAGAGCCTTTCTTTAGAAGATGCGTATGTCAAGCGTGGATGGGCTGTGAGGAAACCAGCAAGTCTTCAAGAAACTATGTTGCTAACAAGACACTTCTGAAGGAATTGGTGCTCTGTTCACTAAGAGATGGAAGAGGACCTAAATAAGTAGAATTTCCCCTCTGACAATATGGACATCCTATAAAGGAAGACAAGTGCATGTATTCCCACTTTACACGTGGAGAAACAGGCTCAGAGAAAATGTGTGCAATGTTCTCTGTTGGGTCTTTTTGGGTGCTTGAGGACAAGCAGGCGCCTAAAATGGGGCACTCAGCCGGTAGACACTTAGAATTTGGGCTTAGCTGGCTCCTATCAGTCACAGTTCAATACAGTGAGAAAGCAGGTAGAGAATGTGTTAGCAAAGATGGACATGGGATCCCTTAATGAAAGTAGGGAATGGGTGCATAGCTGAGTGGGTGCAACCATGTCCCATGATGGTGTAATATGTGCTTAGAGCTCCCATCAGTCATGCCCTCCCCACAGGAGCTCGGATGTATGCACCAGGCAACACACATGCAAGCACTGAATCATCAGATGTGTTGCATGCTACACACCTGCTGACGAAATCCCTGACATGCCTTCGGCAAATCAGGCACACCTGAGACGTACTAGAGCACAACACCAGGTATTGGATCTGCCCAGGAGGCAGGATTCCTGCCCACAATAAATTTAGCTTTTTGTAGCTGTGCCTTGGCCAGTTGCTGCTCTGACTGGGCTCCTGCGGGGCATCCAGAGGCCCTAGACAAATGCAATGGACTGGGCAGAAGCAGCTAAAGCTTACTAAGCCACCTTAGCAAATCCATGGTTGTTGAAATATGTAAGTGGACCCGTGGAGAAGGGGATTCTCATATCAGTGCTTCACTGGGGAAAAAAAAAAAATAACAGGGTGAATCAGTCATACAGAAGTTCTTAATTCTGGAATATGGTTTTGAGC